CCCCAAAACCCCAAAACCCCAAAACCCCAAAACCCCGTAAAAGATTCGAGAGATTGGAGTATTAATATTTATATGGATATAAATCAGTGAAGTAGTAGTTTATCTTCAGTCTCTGAAGGAGATGTTTTGACTAAACCAGCCAGGTACGTGTGAGTTCTTATTGAAGTTCTATAAAACTCGTTTTAATGTTTACATTAGCAAGCCTGAATGGAAAATGAAAGAAGAACTCATAGTGAAAGGCGCTCCTCCCCCACCGCCTCCGCCTCCTCCCCCTCCGATCGCTAACCTCATTAAGTTCGGAAGAATTGCAAGGAAGAACACTTGTGATGTTTCTCTGACTCAGAAAGAGTACGTTCCTCTGAAATGGAGTACCCTCAAAAGTCAGCATGGGAGAGATGCTACAAATGGTAAAATGTGAGTAATCTGTAGGAGGTACAGTGTTCGCCATCCCTCAGCACAGTCAAGACAAGATTACAGACTCGATCGACTGGAAAGGGCTCGAAGGGTTTAAGTTGTCCAAGAAGAGCGGTAAGTATTTCGAGTTTCTTACTGACTTTTGCAATGATCTAAATAAGGTAGCCTGCAAGCCAAAGAAGTTAGAGAAAATCAAGAGTTTCTCTTCCTTGTCAGTGGAAGCACAAGGAATCAACAGGGTCGATGCAATAGTAGAATGAGCACACAGAAGCATTCCTATTCAAAAGTGTATCACTTTGAGCATTTTGGCCAAGAAGCATCGGTTGGTTGAGTGTAAATTAGAAGATTCATTTTTGAAATATAAAGACTTTCACGTCCACTACCTTGAGAAGATCTTACCGAGCCCAGCACATGAAAGCTATGTGATGTTTCTAAGTGGAATTATAAAGGTAAGTCCTATCTTCTATTCTATCTTAATTAAGGTTATAGCTTGGAGATATTTCTTGCCATTACCCTATGAAAGAGCGCTCATCACCAAAGAATCTATTTGAGCTGATGGATCTTTTGACTAAAGAAGTGACAGACCTCTCTTCTGCTTGAGGATTTTCTGAAATCTTAAGGAGAATTGCTAAGGACGATCTTATTCATTTCCTGTGGGTGCTTAGCTTTCTTCCAAACTGTGTAGAGAAGATAACAATGGCGAGTACCATTATAGACATAAGGCATCAGTTTGAGTTTCTTAATGAAACTATTGTTAATAATTTTACTAATTTAAAAGATCACTCTGAAAGAGACCCTCTGGAGTTCTTGAAGGATATGATTCATATTGTCAAAATTGTTGGAAATGAGATGAACAAAGGGTATGCAAACAAGCAGAGGATTAGCAACTCAGAAGCTGCTGGGATTTCCTTAAGGATCCTACCTGAACTTTTCAGGATAAGCCCTGTGGAAGACATTGAAGGAAACACTTGCTTATTTCACATCATTTTCAATACCTATCTTGCCTTTAAAGGGCTCGAACAGTGTGAGAAGGTATATGAGGATATTGTCTTTGATTGATCAAAGATTATTCAGTATTTGTCCTTCTTGAATGGCAACTCAACTGAAATTGCCACTCAGATCCAGGTGAAAACAGCTGAGATTTCGGAGTAAATTCCTTAGTAACTTTTAGATACATAAAGCAAGAAGGTGACGAAGAGTATAAGTCAAGTATTAAAAACAGACTTCAAGAGATAGAACAGAATGCTGAAGAAAGTTATAGCAGAGAAATCCTATCAGAGCAGCTTCTAATTACTACTGAAGCTGAAGATAAATGGTATCATGTCAAAAATCAGTTGATCAAGGTTGAAAACTTTCTTGGCAAAGGAAATGAACAGATATCCTCCTGCATTGAATTTGCACAAAGATGTATCTCAGCTATGAAGGAGCTCTCTACAATGAATATATCCTCTGAAGAGGAGAAGAAGTATTCAATTTCACCACAGAAAAGAAGAGTGCAGAGCCCGAAGAAGAAGCCAGGAAGAAGTCTTTCGTCAAAGTTTGATGATGATTCAGAGAATTGTTGTCCAAACATTGAAAAATCTAAATTTGCCAAGAAGAAGTCTCGTAAACAAGAGATTCTAGAGAAGAAAGCTATGTTGAAGAAGTAAGTTATTCCCTAAATCCTTCCTTTTCAAACTCCTGGCATCAAAAGTGTTACAATGCGATTAAACTGAAATAGTCACTAAATTTCCCCCATAAGCAATTAATAACCTCTAAATTTTCTCAATTCAGGCGAGAGAGCTCTCTTGAGTCTATAACGCGCTCTAAACTAGCTAAATTAGCCTCTGAAATCTGTTCCATCTAATGCTGCTTTATAGAGAAATGATTAAGACCAAAAGAAGGCTGTAAATCTGAGCTCTTACTTAAGTCACTAAAAGATTCAAGATAAAATTTCCAGTTCAGATTCAGGTTCAATTTTGTTTTTATAAAAAGGGGTTTTGGGGTTTTGGGGTTTTGGGGTTTTGGGG